ATGTGGCAATTGAAATTTGAGAGTCTCACATTCAAACTGATACTCAGACTCAGCCAATCGAAATTTTGCAGTAAATTATCAAAATTCATTGCAGCGTCATACAATTCTCAACACCACATCCTCAGCACTGGCAGGATACATTTGTTGTATTCCCGAAGATCCAATCAGGGAAAGTACCCAACAAATCTCACTTGACGTGTAGGTAGCTCGCTTGATAGGACGAAGGTAACACTCGAGTACACCTACTCACATGCAATTGGCAATTCAAGAATGATTGAAGAGCCCTCGGTAGCTGAACACATCATTGGGTCAAGTACAGAGTCTGAAAAGGGTTTCTTTGAAGAAAACATCTTATCCACCTGTGCCATGAACAGCATTCCTGTGTCATTCCCTTCCTCAAAGTTTTGGACCATGTAAAGATTGTCACATGATGAAGCCAAGTCTATCAAATGCATCCACTGCCACTGTATCTGCATATCAAGAGATCAAACAAAATTGCAGAGGGGTCATTTATTGGCCATTCCTACAAACAATCATATCCTTTGCTATAGATATTCTATAACATATGACATCTTGTAAGTGTGTGGCTTCCCCCGGGCCCAACCCTCAAGTTCAACTGTTCTGGGGTCTCTGAAACCCTTCTGGCTCTGAGTATCTGGCAGTCTACATGCCTGGCCTGACAGTAGTTGGCTCAATAAGAGTGTCAATGTACATCTCTTGCTTTTTGTTCAGCACACCCCCTTGAGTCATCTCCCTTTCCTATAGTCATTTTGCTGTCACTGATTGCCTTGCATCTCTAGGCCCTTACAAAAACCGCAAGGATAATCAACAGGAGTCTTTTATCACTCTTCAGAGAGTTGTGTTTACAAAATGGAAACAGCAAAGGTATTGATCAATCTGGTACAAGTCCTAGAGAGATAAGTTGAAGGAACCTTGTGGTAGAAAGAAGCAGGAGGAGAAGTGTTTGTAGACTAGGGCTCTTTTGAGTACTTGTTATTTGCTGAATCTTAGGGTTTGGGGGGATGAAATATCTGAAATGGCTTCAAGGTCAAGGGAGGTTCCCGAGCTACATATAACCAGAGATACACTGTCTCCTTGATCAAGCTTGTTCATCCATATAAAATGAATCATAAATAGACATTCTTGTGCTACTGTCCTGTGACTGGGCTCCTTCTTCATTGCCTCATCTTTTTACAGTTTTCCCATAAACCCTTGGTCATCCAAATCCAGCACTCTTCCATTGTTCCCTCACCAAGAAAGTACAGCTTATTTGATCTCTTCATCAGTTGTCCATGATATCTTGTATACTTTACTCACCACTTTTTTCTTTACTCTTCTGGAATTGAAGGAAAATTATGCTATATTTTTATGTGCATTTGTGGTATGATAAGTCATGAGGAAAACATCTTGTGCTTGTTGCAAGTCTTTTGAAGCAGCCTGAGGCCTTGGGTCATTGAGCAGCCTCTGGGTAATCTGGGTCTTTTGTTCTTGAGAAAAGATATATATATGATAAGAGCCAAGCTGGCAGTTGAACCTCGTGGTGTATGCCAGAAGCATTTCAGGTGTAGCTTTTTCTGACCTGGAGTTTTTTAAAATGTTATATCTCATGAGGTTGGGCTCTGCAGGCACACTTTAGTTTCAAGCCATCCCTTTGTTACACAACCTTTTCTTGAAATTTAATCAGAACATACAATATATCTGCACAAGCATAGCAGCCAATGTGAATCACAAACATGGAGCTTGATGCAGGACAGTGGTAAATTTGATTGGCCACAGCGGGGCTAAAAGTCAGCATCAGACTCGAGCCGGACTCCTACCTTGAGTCCGCCTCGGGGCGTCTGTGTTGTAATAATCTTACACCCCGGTTTCGCCCGCAAAATTTTTGAAGGCACAATAGATACAATCTTTGTGACAGCGATGAGCCTCATTGTTCACTTAATGTTTTTTGGACTCAATTTGTTCGCCAATCAATCCTCAACCATCTTCAGAGTGCCCCTCAGCAGATCCAAATGGAAGCCGGACCTACACCTGATGCAGCTCTGAGTCGAAGGCTGACAAACATTCGACATATCCTACTTGTCCTCTCCGGCAAAGGTGGAGTTGGAAAGTCATCAGTCTCAGTACAAATCGCACTTTCTTTATTGCACTCGCGGCCTGGTGTACGTGTCGGACTTCTGGATATCGATCTCACTGGGCCATCCATTCCTCGCATGCTGGGACTCCAGGGTCGGTCAGTCTTTCAATCCAACGATGGATGGATTCCCGTTCAAGTCGATCTTGCCAAGGATCTACAAGCCAACAACGAGGATGCGGTTGCCTCGGATGGTCTCCTGAAATGCATGAGTATTGGATTCCTGCTAAAGAATCCTCAAGACAGCGTTGTATGGAGAGGGCCGAAGAAGAATGCAATGATTCGCCAGTTTCTAGTGGACGTACAATGGGGCGAATTAGATTGGTTGATCGTGGACACACCGCCCGGTCGGTTACTCTTTTGACCATTCCCTCGCTAGTCTTGAGACAAGAAAGGATGAGCCTTTATGTGTCGCCAAATCCAATTTCAATTATCAGAAACTGATTGATCGTATTCTTTTTGCAGGTACATCCGACGAGCACATCTCACTACTCGAACAGCTGGCACCCGCCCTCATCGCACGTTCGTCCTCAGATTCACCGAATGCAAGACTACCAACCTTGTCTTCCGTCTTGGTGACTACTCCGCAAGCAGTCTCTCTAGCAGACGTGTCCAAAGAACTCGACTTTGCACGTAAAACTGGTCTGACGGTTATCGGCCTGATCGAGAACATGAGCGGATATCTATGTCCCCATTGTAAGGAGATTCAACATGTATTTGGTGGTGGGGGTGGTGAAGCATTCTGTGCTCAAGTGTCGGCCAAGGCAAAACTAGATGGTTCCTCCGCCGACACCGCTCCTCTGACGTTTCTCGGCAAGGTTCCGATCGACGTGGAGTTTATGAAGTTGATGGATCAGGCGATGTGGACAGATCCAAACAAAGAGCCTCGAGATGGTAGTGACGTGTCACAAACACAAGAAACTCAGCATGTCAATTGGGACTTGATTCGGCGGTACGCCGAGGTCCCCAGCTCGAAAATTCTCGGACAGATCTGCAAGAAGATTACTGAGGTCATTGAGCCAAAAGATGTCTCTTGAACGTCTGTATCATCTCCAAATCGAGTTCATATCCTGATGGAGCATCACGCCATGTCAAGAACCGCCAGATTCGATACCCAAAGTTAATACCTCAGGAAGAACCCTTACGTCTGATTCTCCGCGAAAACCGATCCAGTGAACATTTTCCACAGGTGCGATTTCCTGTGATGATGACGAGAGGTGGTCTTGTTTAGAGATGGGGGAGTACATATACGGTATATTCCCATCATACCTACTGTCACACTGCTATGCCAATCATCGCTTAGGCAAGCTTAACTTGGCTGTCAGATTGATTCCAGCATTTCATGATCCATTGGAAAAGACAGCACTGCGTGTACGACTTTTGTCTGGCCTGATGTACCTCTTGCAATTCATGCTGGCCTTGTGTACATTAATTTCAACCTACCAAATAGGACACAATACACAGACAAACTACACAAACTACTCTGGCATCAACAAAAGTCCACTTCACCATTTCCAACTCCATTTTCAATATTGAATACCCTCACACTGGATAAGTTTTCATGTCTGTGGCATGGAAATTATTTAGTTCCAGGGACACAACCATCCTAGCCAATTCACCCATGTGATGCTATTTAGCACTTTGGTTTGTGACTCTCAGGACCCTGAGAAGCACGGCTTGCCCACTTCCCAAGTGATTTAAAACCCATTAATTTATGAATCAAAGACAGTCATGGAATATACACAAGACAAATGTCCAAATTAGGATGGTAACCTCCACAAAAACATCCATCAGCAACCCTCAATCAACCTCCTGTGACACTGGCAATTCTGAGTGAGGCTGTTAATCAAGAGAAATCGACTGTAAGCTTGCAAAGGTGGGCCAAACTGTGTATCCCAAAGACAAGTTGACATATACCATGCAGTTTTGATGTCTAATTGATTATAGATGTTCTGGACATATAGCCAATTCCTCAAAGAAAGGTCATAATTTGGTGGATAATGATTAAATGACTGGGATACTGTGGCAGTGTAATCTCCTTCAGCATGCTCACTTAGAAATTCACTTCCTTAAGTGATGTGGGGCATCATACTTTGTTTTGGGGTATGGCAGCTTATCTTCACCTCTCTTGTGCTAGTCTTTATCTACTTGACAACAATCAACTCAAGTTGTCCAATCTAACTTCTTGATATAAGCAAGCAAAAAGCCAAAATACCAATTGGAGTTGAAAATGAAATGTGCACCTGGTTTATAAACAATTGAACCATGACTTGAGGCTCAAGGTGTGATGGACTTCTGAGCATTCTACAACCACAGGATTTGAGATTTTTCTATCAGGTTGTTGTATTTAACTGCAGTACAGATGAATGTAAGGGGAACATCATAAAGTGTCAGGGTGGCTATTAGAAACCAAGGGAAGTGGTCTAGTTTGCTTACTTTCATGTCCTGACAAATGTATTACTGTGTCCGTAAGATCTATAGCAATGCAGTATTTCTTAACCTGCAAGGGAAAGAACAACACACATCAAAATCTTCCAAGGACTGTAAGAGAGGAGTATGGTGGTGGGGCTGCTACTCACTATAAAGTTACAGAATTGAATGGTAAGATGATAATGCAGGTGATTTTTAAAGGATTGTATCCTGAGGATAGCCTGTGCTTGAGATAAACAACAGGGATCCTCTCAACTTCCTGCCAACTAGACATTGCAGAACCAGTGGTATGTGACCAAGGAATAAGTACCCTATTTCTAGGAGTAGTGAGGATTTTTTCCGTAGAATTGACTGGAAAGCAAGGAATTACCTACAATAGGGGTTTTTCAAAGTCAAGAATTGGTTAAGTCTTTTTGTCAGTCAAAAAAGAGGGGTTTTTTTGGACACTTCTTTAAAAGATGATTCTAGCCATGTGTTTACTCTAGGAAGAGGAGCTGAAAACAGCAGTTGGCTTCTAGGATACTCAAGAACTGGAAGGGGAAAAGAAGGTGAGTCATTGTTGTGATAGTGTAGGTTAAGTGGGTCCAAGATCATTACTAAGTATGGTTATGTGTTTGAATGGTAGTTGTGTATTAAGGCCGCATTCACTTAAGCCCGGATTTCAAGAAATTGCATTCTGCTTGAGCACTTTTCTACATGTAGAAAAGTGTTTTCTTTCAAAAATCTGAATTTTCACATTTTGTGAGAATTTGTGAAAAAAAAGCAATAAAGTGTTTGCTTAAATGACCATTAAGCACACGATCATAGAAAAGTGAAGCGATCATATGATCACTTTTCTATGATCCCATTTGACACCTCAATCTTACTTTTGGCATCTCTCGCTTTATGAACTACTCACATCCGAACGCTTTTCATTTTTGAGTCAGAAAAATGAAAAGCAAACACAAATTACACATTTCACAAATAAAGAATACAATAAACATAAGACTCAAAATTCCTTCAAGAGAAGACCCTTGCATCAATAAGCTACTCAGCATAGAACAGTATCCTAATCCATAGTAACACCATAATTCAATCTAACATCAGAAAGGCAAGATTAGTAAAGATTGGCTTTGATTGACAAGATTGAGATGAAGATGATGACAGGAGAAAGGCCGAGTACTTGTCTATTTCATCAATGATAGTTAATACAAACACACCAGAAACTCGATCTTAAGAAGAAACCTTAGATAAGAACGTACTTACAGATTCTGTCAAACAGAAGTTGAGACACAATACCACACAACAATTTAGGTCAAACGATGAGTAGATAAGGATGGGTGGAAGCAAAAGTTGTCTAGAGTTATTAGAAAACAGGTGATCAAATGAAAAAAGCAACCTCATCAGCATCATTGTGAAAAGAGATAGGAAAATACGATGTACTAGATGCATTTAAACCAACCCAAGCAACTCAGAAATGGTCCAGACAAGATTGCAGTGAGATCGAGTGCAGCGGTGTTGAAATTGATTGAGGTGTTGTTTGAGGCGAGTCTTGAGGAGCAAAAGTTGAAAAGTCAAGTTGAGTTGTTGGGCCAATTCATAATGAAATGAAAAGGGTAGTGATGGTCTTTGGGGGTGGCGGAAGTTGGCTTTGAGGAGTGTGTGGGATTCCGTACGGTGAACAGTGACTTGGTTAAGTTTTGATGAATTCCGTACGGTGAATGGTGACTTGTTCAAAACTGAAAAAAGGATAAAGAAAAGAAAAGCGATCACAGAATGTGATTTCAATCGATAAGAATGCACTTCTAGTGCATTCTTGAAAAGCAATGAAAAAAGTCTTTTTATAAGCATTCTGTGATTTCTAGAATGCTTGTAAATAAGAAATCAAACGCATTTCACAGAATGCAATTTCTCAACATTCAAGAATGCGAATTTTCACGAAAAAGCGCTTAAGTGAACGTGGCCTAAGGGTGAAGCGTGGACATCTTCCTCTTTTGAGATTTCTTCCTTCCTTTTTGGGAAAGGTAATTCAAGGGTGAAATAATTGAATGAGTACTCAAGGGGTAGTTTTTGTGTTGAGATGTATCAAGGGATGAAGAAATTTTTCTGGGTCTCTTATTATATCTGTTTCTCCCCCCTTCCACTTTCTGATTCTTTTTGTGTCGAAAAGAATTAGTAAGTCTCTCATTATTGTCCTCAGATGATTTCTCTACAATCTCACTAATGTTTGTCTACCTAAATCTTTTTCTCTGGATCACGTTCTCAGATAATCATCACTACTTGTGTCTGTTTCACTTATCCTATTCCACGCGCCGCTCTTTGTTTCCTTCAAGCTCGCAGGTAGATCTAATTTGTGTTCTTTCTTTTTCTCTTAGTTAGTGTAGAGTCTGATATATTTGTCCTTTCTTTCTTTTTCTCTGATTGTCCCTGAACCTGAATAGGTCAGTATCTTGTTCTCGGCGTAGACCAGCGTGCTGCTTAGAAGTGTCTAACACGGAACTGTGCCCTCAGGTTCGTGTCCAAAAGAATTAATAATCATCACTACTTGTGTCTGTTTCACTTATCCTGTTCCACGCGCCGCTCTTTGTTTCCTTTGAGCTCGCAGGTCAGTATCTCGTTCTCGGCGTAGACCAGCGTGCTGCTTAGAAGTGTCTAACGCGGAACTGTGCCCTCAGTTTTCCATTTCCTCACTTCTAGCTTAGTTCACGTCCTGGATCTCTTGTCAGAGCTGTTAAAAGAATACTTTTGAATATTTTCAGTCATCTCTGTAGTAAGGAGGGTTTATTCTATTTATATTCTTTGTTCTTGGTAGGCCATGTGCTTGTGGTTACCACTTGTACTTCCTGGTCTTGGTAGGCCAGCTTGTGGTTGGCACTTGTACTTCCTGGTCTCAGTAGGCCAGCTTGTGGTTATGGCTAGTCCTTCCTAGTCTGTGAAGGGTCAGCCTGTGGCTCAAGATGAATCCATTCTACAATGTTTGATAAGTTTGGACTGTTTACACTTTTGGCAAGCTGATTGTTTAATCTTTACACTTTCAAAAACCTGGTACAAATACAAGGTTTCTTGCTTGAGTCTCAGGCTTATTTATTCTATGGTGTAATTCTTGGTTCTCTGTGTAAGTATGCTTATGTTCATGATTCATGATTATGATTATGATTACTTGTTTTTGATACTTTTGTCTTTTAGATATAAGGTGTGAGTTTATGATAAGGAATGAAAGATATCTTGTCTGTCTTTGAAACTAGACATGAAGATGTAATTGTTTGTCTCTGATACTCAGATGTAAGTTGTGAGGTTATTACAAGAAGTGGAAGGGGCTTTTCCGTCTTTGATACTAGACGTGGAGATGCAATTGTTGTTTGATTAATTATCATTATTTCTCCATTGGTGTATTCTTCTGGAGTCTTTTTGGCTTTTGCTCTGCAAAACTTCAAGGGCTGACATAAATGGTGTTGAAGAGACATAGGATGATGGTGAATGGTAGACAGAGATAAGCATTGGTGTTTCTGGCTATTACATATTGATGGATGACAATCAATCCTTTTATGGTCCAATGATTACTGCAATCTATATTACCAGAATTTAATACAATGAGTAGCATCCCTTGCCATAGTATCAAGAGAATGACTCACATTGATAAGAAAGGAGCTCAATCAATTCAAAAAAGTCTTTATGCTCAGTACTAAAAAATCTTGATCATGTGTATAGGCAAGACGAGCTGTTTCAAGCTTGATGACACCCTTGACCACCATTTTATTGAATGCCGAGAGTGTGAAATAATGTTACAAGACCCAAAAGTCTTTCCAAGGTAAGATACTGAAAAAGGTGCCTCAGGACAAACACACGGAAGAACAAGCAATCATGTTAGGGTGGTCAAGGTTGGCAAATATCATTTTGAAAATTTTATGCACTTTACCCTCCCAGTCGTTTCAGTTTAGGATCTCAAAATTGTCACCAGTGTGACTTGTTCAGCATCATCCTCCCCTGGTACAGCCCATGACCTCTGGTTCAGGATCACCAGTGACCACATGGTACAAGATCATGAGGGCAAACTCCATAGGCGCCACATTGAGTGTGTGCACAGCACATCAATGCCCCCTCAACTGTCAGATGGGCATCACTCCTTCAGACTGCACCCATGATCAACATGTACCAGATCCATTGCCAAGCCCACTTTCTCAGGCTTGAGCACATGCTGAAGGGAGAAATCAAGATCATTCTGTTGCTTTTAACACCTTGGCACTTGGCAAAGTAGCAAAAACCAGGGTACCAGGAAGCACTTGGTGGCAGCCTTCCCATAGATTCTAGAGCAAAGTCAAAACCACGGCAGAGTGGATCTTTGCGCGCTAAACTCGTGATTTCAAGCCTGATGTACCCAGCATGACCGACCGGCATGTTAGGTAAATGACGACTCATAGAAAAGGCTCAAGAGATTCAAGTCAAACGTGGTAAAAATTCCAAATGCAGATATTAAGAAAGCAGGTCGGATAGAAAAGCAACAAAAGACGTCATCACAGTCGTGCGTCATTGGCAAAACAAATTCGTCATAAAAAGGAAGAGGAACAGGGAGAGGGACATTATGAGGACGAGCAAAACTAGAAGTCATGTAGGACCAGCTGACACAGGGAACAGGGTACTAGGCGATGATCCGAATCACAAGTCGAGCTAGGGATAGAACAAACTAGTCAACACCACGAGTGACGCTCGACAAGGTAGTTTAACTCTGAGTTTTCCACTGCATATCCCAATCAACAGGTCAATGTTCACTATTTAAAGCGAAGCAAACCCGATGGCAGCCAAAGAGACGGTGAAGAGACCCATGGCAGGGCTCAAGATGGTGGCCGAAGATTTGGCGTTAGATCCAGCGGTTGAGTTACCAGCGCCGGAGCCTGCAGTACGAGCACCTGAGCTGGTGGAGGTAGTGTTGGATGTGGTTGAGCCGCTGTTGCCGTTGGTACCAGTGGTGCTTCCATGATCCATTTCCTGATCCGTTTGCTGATCCACTGCCAGAGGTACTGGCCACAGG